CTAAAATATTACTCTGTGAAACTCCTGCTAACACACCTTCTTTATTCAGAATTCCTGTTACATTGACTACATGCACCATTCACTTCATGCATGTCATGGAAATTCTCAGAATCTTAGGGAGGGCTGTATTTTAAATGTATAAGTCATTTAATCTGACTTCTTGTTGATAAAAGTATTTTGTACCTATGATCACCCACCCTCAAATTAAATATAAAAGATCCAAAAGTTTGCCAATTTTTGCCTATCCCATGTATATACAAGTCCATAGTATGTTCTTCCTTAATTTGAAACAAAATCTTCCTAGAATTTAGTCTTACTTTTTCTAGAGTTTCAGAGGACAAAGAAAATCTGTTGATGCTTCTTTTCTGTGAAATGGCTGTTGTTTGACTCCTAAAAGCTTTGCTTTTCAAGTTGAAACATGCTTGGTTTCTCCAACAATTTATCAGATGACATTTTTTTCCAGAGCATTCACCAGTTTCTATTTGGATAGACTCCAGCTTGTAAAAATTCTCCTCAAAGCATTGTTTCAAGAGCAGAAACCTGATATGTCTGGGTCCGTCCCTGCTTAGCTTCAGCCTCGATGTGCTTTTCCTGCTCCCAATGCTGCGGCCTTTGATTATCTCCTCTCCTGGATCAGCCCCTCCTGGAACCCAGACAATATAGGCTTAAAGGAGGCCGAATCCAGGCAGCACAGCTCTTTCCTGGGGTGGGGCTGGGTGTCCTTGACCCTCCCTGGTGTGTTGACTTAGGACAGAATAACTAGAGGAGACCACGGGCCTGTGGCTTAGGTCACACCTGCGGTCACCCTCTGGGGATCCTCGGTTGGGGCCATTGTGGGTTTCTGTGTGCTGGGCTGGCTGAGGTGCTCTGCCTAGGTGGTTCCCCTCTTGTGCAGAAATCCTGTTCCTGAAGGTCCTTGTGTTCCTAGGACTATTTTTCTTTTTATTGTCCTTTTTTTCCTGTCTTCTTCTTTTTCTTCATATCATTGCTTTCTTTTTTAAGTTAAACTTCTTTGAGGAAGGAGCCCGAGCACACCCCCCAGCTGGTTAACCTGGGGCCCCACTGCCCAGGGACAGAACGTGCAGGCTCCAGGAGGCTTTCTTTTTGGATTTTGGGGAATTCCAACGCAAGTTCCTGGTTAACACACTAATGGGAGAGGCCCCTCCGGGTTTCTGGTGATGACTGTGTATCACTCATTGCCCAGGGTCTGGTTCATCCAGCTGCTGTATCACTTTCAACAAGTGACCAACTTTCTCCGTGACTTGCTCCCACCTCCAACTAGTGACTAGTTATCATGACAAGTTGACCTTGTCTTCAGTGAGAACAATGTCCCTATGTCTCCCTAAGGAATCCTGAAGTATCTTGTGTTCCAAATATTGACTAATCTGTGAATGTGAAGAGTGGGATTTTATTCTACTTAGTATGGAGAGTAATTAATCTTGATTAATACTATTCAAGAGTATCAGGAACAGTGAGTAATTAATCAGGCTGCCATGGGAACAGGAAAGCAGGTTGTTTCAAAATTGTCCTTCTTGCTAATATTGACCTTGGAACTAACTGAAATTTATAGCTCTGTGTCAACATCTGTTGAGCCAAATAGCTGTATAATTCAGTCTTTGGGCCAAAGCACAAGACT